CCGTAGCCTTGTAATGTTGATCCGATCCAGAAGACGAGGAAACTCCTGGATCAGTACCCGCAGACGTATGATTTGTTATGGGAACATGGAGGACTTCGTGACTTGACAGATTTAACATGCACCAGACACTATTTACTACACGGAGAGTCTTCGGCGGGTGGGGATAGAATCCACGACCTCTTGGAGGTGGGCACTGTGCCCTAGCTACCAAGATATCCTGGCTCTTTTTGGGAATTTTTCTTTATATCCGTCGCTGAACAGCCGACCCAATTTTTGGGTTTAAGACTGCTAATGTTCAACTCCGTAGCCTTGTAATTTTGAACCAATCCAGAAGACAAGGAAACTCCTGGATCAGTACCCCAGTGGTATTGATTTGTTATGGGAACATGGAGGAGTTTGCGACTCGACAGATTTAACGGACATAAGTCACTATTTACTTCACGGGGAGTCTTCGGCATGCGGGGATCGAACCCACGAATTCTTCGACATAAGCCCAGTGCCCTACCAACCAGGCTATCCCGGCCATTTTAGTGAAAATTAAAGGAAACACTCTTAAAAATAAATGAAAGGAATGTAAAATTTTCCAAACGAAAGCTGATTATGAATTATGGAAAGTTATTGAATGCCCATCATGGACCATCTCTTAATATTTAATATCAGGCAATGAGGATGCGCGATATTGATGCTTGGGAAACAATCCCTCTACGAGGATTAAAATAGCTTATTGTGCATCTCTTGTATGACGTAAAGTGCCAAAGTACCACGTATCTATCAGTCGAAATGGTAGCACTTTCATATATTTTTGAATCACTGTATCGCTTTGACTCTTAACTATTTTTAAAGTGAATAATAAATAGTTAAGTGCTTAAATTAATAATGAGAACAGTTAGAATATGGTCTAGCAATCACGAGACGAAATCTCAGAGAGGTTGCTTTTCTCATGATTGTCAGAGAGTATTTAAATTGTTATTGAAAACTTAAGTGATTATTCTTGCTAAGTTGTAAGTAGTTTTGTTCTTACGAAAATGAGTGATTCAACAAAACATTAAAATTTTACATTTACTTGAAGCTTAAAATCTTTAGAAGAGAAAACGTATCCTAAATACATTCAAAAGCTTTAGCAGCCATTGTTGTTGTCTTCTCACAAAATACCACGAACTTTAGGGTAGCCGGTTCAGTTCTGACAGTAACTCTTGACATATATACAGTTGTTTTTTGGCAAATTTGTATTTCATGTACAGTAAGATCTTGATCAACCAAAGGTCCCGCAGTGGACTGATCGTTAAGACACGGTTCCCAGCAGATCACCGAAGTCAAGCATCACTGGCAGCTGTCAGTTTGCGGGTGGGTGACCACTTGGATCAGTCTGATTAGGGACCGAGGGTGTGCGGTATTGGTCCTCGTTAAACTGTGCTACCGTGAAGTGCTCGACTTCGCGTGCAGGTCGTCGGGCTACCGAAGCGGGGGTGCCTTCCCCTCTGCTGAGGATCAAAATTGTGATGGCATGTCTTCGGATCATCCTCAGGGATGCTTCCCAGACCGTCGACAATAGCCCATTGTGCAGCTCTAGTGCGACGTAAATGAACAAATCGAATCAATCAATGATCAACCAAAGAAATTAGGATCGGGCCTAGTTCAGACAATTGAAATAATTTTAATCATTTTACTTCAAAATTATTTGTCATTTGTGCTGCTCTACTTGGCCATCTAAAGGAAGTACTACTACAATTTGGATTTGAAAATTGACTTTTTTAATAATTGTACTACTTATTATTTAAATTTAGCTTTAATGTGACTATTTAATGAATGTATTTTTGTGAAATATGTAAAAAGTTATTTATTTTAAAATTCACTTGCAATATTGGCTTTGATCCTTTCTCACTTATATCAAATCATTTATACGAACATCATTTTTATCAAATTATTTATATTAAAACTTGTATCAAATCATGTATATTCATTTCATTTACACGAAGCAGAATCAAATTCTGAATCATTTGGCGATTTAATTGTTTTCGCTTTGGTTTTACTGAATTATATTCTTTTGCAATCTCTGAAAAGATTTTTCTTACCTAAAACAGTTTCATTACGATGTAATATTTTCTAATGTAGCTGATATGCTAACCTTTTAGCCCAAATGGTAGTAAAATTAGTGAAGTAGTAAAATTGTGGTAGTAGAAGCGTATTTTATTCACATCGCACTAGAGCTTCACAATGGGCTATAAGCAACGGTAAGAGAAATGATCTGAAATTTATATAATTTTTATTGTTGACTTAACCTGTTACAGCCATAGAGTGTATCTAATATATCTGAAATTTAAAATTTTTTTTTATCCGAGCAAAAAAAATAAGGAAAAAAAAGTGGCTGTTAAATCAAAAGGAAATATAGGTATTTTTTTCTTCTTCTTCAAATGGCAGGCTCTGAACTTTATTCTTCGCCTTAGAAGATGCCGGAATTGTTACTCATTTTACGTTACCCAGTGGGCACCTGTGAACCAAAGTCACGGAGGCGAGCAACATTATCCACGCCACACTGCCACAAACCCGTTCACAGGGTGGGCCACATTCACATATCACACACAACAGAGGACAACACAAGAGCGAAACATCCATGCCCAGAGCTGGATTCGAACCCACAGCCATTGGCTTCGCAGTCAGGCGCGCTAACTGCTCGGCCACCTGGCAGGCGGAAATATAGGTATTGGTTTTGGGAAAAAGTGGCTACCAATTATTAGAGTCTACCGGCCACTGGCTACTAACTAAAAATTTTATTTTTCAGGTACTAGCTCACGAGCTTGTAAAATAGAAAATGTAGATTGAACAACAAGAACACCTTTCAGAAATGGAAGTAATCAATTAACAAAACACCTATTTATTGCTCAAATAAATATTCTAAGTAGTCATGCATTACAAAATGTGTCATTTATTTTGAAGGCCTCAGGTACAGCTCGTTGTAATTTTAAAATTGGGAAAATAACAAAAAAACTATGAGCTCATTAAATAAAGCATTTCAAAGTCGACTTCGCATTCAGTTAAAAGAGGTATGAAAAATAGGTACACATAAGTATTCGGATAAAGAGGTTCGGATAATAAAGGTTCTTCTGTACTTTAATTATGCGTTTTAAGAAGACATAATGTGCTGAGATTGTTAGTAAACATACTTGGTTATTTAACATTAGAATATTTACTGTAGATGAATTTAAAGGGTGGGGCTATGTATTGGGACAGTATGATATGAAAAGCGTACCATACTATGCATGGTACACTCTGGGATCATAGGGTGTAGTAACTCAATTAGCAGTTTACTCAATAATACAATAGTAGTTTACTCAATTTTCAAAATTTGATAGTTTCACTTCCAACTGTCCCTTAATATTCTTTCCAGATAAATAGTTTACAAGTTTTTTAGAATTTACTTTACATAACAGAACAATGCACTGAGATATTTATTACCTACAAGATACGTGGATACCAGAAGCACTCTCCTGAGCAATTTAAAAATGCGGCGTATCATCATTTTGTTCCAAAAAATATTTCTTCATATTTCTATTTTAAATATTTACTGGGATGTAAGATACATAAAACTATTATTTCAGCCATCTATCTGTTACATATTCTGATGTAACATAGCTCTCTAGTTAATAAACAAAATGCAGCTCAGTATTCTCTAAATGTCAAATCTAAATGATGTCGAAAAATGTCAAATTCAAAAAGAAATCAATGCAAAACATAAAATAAGCTCCAAGTTTGTTAAGTTAAAAGAGTAAATTTTTAAGTAGATCTTTTTCTGGAAAACAGTAATTGTTAATGGTAACAGAGAAATGAACAAAACAAAACATCGAAGTTTTTGATTCGTGATATTGTTTGATTATATTCGAGATTAAAATTGACATGATATCGTGACATTTACTTTGGCAATGTAAAAACTGCCTTTTTTCTTATTTTTTTACGTAATAATTTTTCTGCTACTGATTTGTTAGTATATATCTTTTGCATGGCATGAAATTCTCTCTTATTCCAAAGTGCTTTAATAATTTCTTTTTTTATTTTCCAGATTTTCATTCAAAATCTAAAGAGATTAATCTAATTCAATTTTTTTAAAATGATAGTAGCATTACGCATTCGATTAAAACAATATTTAAGAACATTCAAAAAAAAAAAAACAGCTATATCAAAATATTTCTGCTCTATTTCGATTGAAAATGACGCAAAAATTAAAAATAAGAAAGTTTTTCCTATTTTATGTTATTCATCATTTTATTTTATTTTTTACATATTTTTTTTTATACATAAAACATAATATTTTTGATTGGTATTTTTCAATAAAAAGATTAAAAGCGACCTAGTCAAATATTAAAAAGAAAAACATTCTGAGGTTATACTACTTTGAAACAACATTTATTTTAAAAAGAGGTGTTTATTAGAGTATACAAATGAAAAACACAGCCAGAAAGGTAGTAAACAGAAAAACTGCGTAGTAAATACTTAAAAAAACCCGCCTTAAACCGAAAAGAAGATCTCGAGAGAAGCCATTAAAGTTGCGTTGCTCAAAACTATAACTAAATGTAAATTGACTGTATTGATGGATCTATTAAAACTAAATGTAGTAGTATTGATAGATCTATCACTTTCACGAATTATATTTTACTCAGCAAAACTTTTACTTGCTATTAAATAAAGGGTTTGGTCAATATAGTGAAAAGTTTCATTTTCGTTCGAAGACGACATAATTCTCATCAGATTGTTCCCTTGAATAGTTTCCAGATGGGCACTTCACAGGTTTCCGCAAATTTCTTCTAGCACAATGACAGCACAATACAGAGAAATATCGGACTGCATACATGTAAATTGTTGCGTTATTCATCAAAAATACACTCATGAATTATTAGAAAAAGTGTTGCATCATTATATTGCTTCGACCCTTCAAATCAAAAGCAAAAATAAAAAAAAATTTTTTTTTTGGAAAGAAGAAATTAATATAAGAAACTTCGAAGACTTACCTTGTAGTGTCCAAATAAGACTATCCGTATACTAAAACATTTGTCAAAATCCAGTTTAAATGTTTCATTTAATCGACCTCTGTTACCGCTTTGATTATCACTAGTTTTTATAAATTTATTCGTAAAAGTTATCAACTCCATAATACTTGACGGAACAAGTGAGGGTTTTCCAAATATGACAAAAAATTAACTTCATTTTAGATTTAAACGTGTCATAGTTGTGTTTTTTTTTGAGAACTGGCCCCGAGCAAAAAAGAGTTGCTTGTTTTGTTTTCTATTCACATAATTACAACTTAAGTTATTATTGCGTAAGAGCTATCTTTATATATATAAAAAAAAAGATAAGTTGACGGAACTTCTATGAAGACTGAAGGTTCCCGACAGGTTCTGAGTTTCCGGTTGAGTTTTCGGAAGAAGAGACCTTGAAAAATATGGAAGGTTCCTTTTTATACTGACGAACTTTATTAGACCTGAAGATATAATGGGGATTTTCCACCTTTTTAGGTGAAAGTTCATTTGCATTGTGAATAAACGATCAGTAAGTGGCGCAGTCGTGTCTCTTTATTAAATAACTTAGCGCCAAGTTTTTACTCGAAGACACATAAATATTATGTGTCGCATTTTTTCTTTCCATACATGTAATATATTGGGTAGCTTTTACGCAATTTCCAACTAACTATATACGATTCTGTCGAAATATATTCTGTAAATCTTGTCTAAGTTTAAAATATTGTTCTGTAAATTTATAACTTCGTTTTGCTCCATAACTATGCAAATATAACATATCAACAGATAATATCTTTTAATACATATTTTTAATGTATGGTACTATGCATTAAATAATTCGAAGCATCATATAGAGTTTAAATTTTTTTTTGATATTAAAATTTAATGAATGTGTTTTTGCCAAGTAGGTATGAAGATATTTACAAATTGTATCGAAATTATGGCTTCTCTTGTAATGCTAAGAAAAAAATGCTATTTTATAATTTACATTATTTCATTCATTGAAAAATTATGCATAACAACTTAAAAATCACAGAAATTATAAGGAAAGCAAAGCAAAAACTATGTAAATAACTTTTTCAAAAATATATGTTCGCCGTAAAATTGGCGTTTAATTAACAAGAAATTTCCTTCTTTTTAATAATGACTAAGCTTATAAATCCTATTTGGCATAGTTTCTTCATGTTACAGTTGTTTTCAAAATTTCGTTGGCCTTGTTTGTTGATTTTGTAAATGTTTAGCAATTCGCAAATAATAGATTTTGTTAAATGTGCAGTACTATGTGTAACATACCCTCTGCTTACATATTCGCAATTATGTTGCATATTTGCGAGCTACAGAAAAGCAAAACCAATGATATCAGAATTTGTAAAACGTCTAGAAAGATAACCAACTTTAAAAAAAAGTTTACGTAGTCAAGCAGTGCAAAGAGTGTGTTTTTATTTATTATGAAAGACAAATGGACACTATATGGACAATGGACATAATTATATATATATATATATTGTGTATATACCTATATATATGTATATATATTTAAAATCTATGGACAAATTATGACAGCCTGTCATTGAAATTGAGAACAGAGAAAAAAAACGCCTGTAAACACCAATAGAAATAACAAGATGACTACGGCTAACAGAGGTGCTCCCTCATTTTAATTTTTTTGTATTTTTCTATTACAGATTGTACAGTAAAAAGTTTGCTGAGTTGCAAGCATTGTACAATTACACAATTTTTATATTAAACTACTTTATTTTAAACGAAAGCTAATGGCAGTTAGAATAACAACATATAAATTCCCAAAAGCATAAAATCTCTGTCAACTAAAGTCTTTTTTTTATATCAAAAAACTCATACTTTACACTTTGGCAAACTACTAGAAAAACACATATTTTTTCGACGTTTGGATAAAAAAAGCTGTACAAAGTAACCTGTGCGGATCAAAGTTATCGCAGTTTACGATAGGAAGCTCTTACATCATAAATTGGCACTTTTGGAATGATCTATAACAGTTTTCATTTCTATCAAAGTTTCTCTCAATGCTTCGTAAAAATCAGCAGTTGATGTTTCATGACAACCTTTTTGCGCACAAATGTTGAATCTAATGGGAGATAAATGAAGGTTGTATAGACAAGTATATCCATCAGGTTCCAAAGGACTTTGATGTGGAGAAATATCAAATTTGGTTGGCACCTATAATTTTAAGACATAGATTAACTTCGTGATACGAAACACTAAAGACCTTTGCATTAATTATCTGATGTGTATGCAGCTGTACTACAATACGCAACTAAATAAACTAATTGATTTTCATTTTGAAAAAAAAAAACTGTTGACTTACAGACTCTACACGGGGTATCAAAATTCGTCTGAAAAATTCAGTGGAATGATAAAAGGTAACTAGAGAAACTTCCAATGGCTGTTCATGTTAATCGTGTTTCCAAAAGAATATACATACGGAAAGAAATCTAACTTCTCTAGACAGAATGCAAAGCGTTCCCTCAAAGGTTAGAAAGTAAGGGACCTGTGAATTAAGTAAAAAGTAACATTAAGGAGCACAGGAGCAGCGGATCTCCTTGTAAAGGGGCATGAACCCAACTTTCCCTCAAATCACTGCCTGGGAATGGAGGAGGAATGTTTGTCTTTTTATTTATGGTTGGCCTGTTGCTTAATTTTTGCACTATTTATTAACATTACTGTACTATTAAAATATTTCTTTGAGAATTCGTTCATATCATCCATTTTGATTATATCTTCTAGCACATTTTGAGATAGAATGAAGGAATGAAATAATGGTTGGTAGGAGGCATCGCTCCAAACCAACATCCGATTCACGCGACTTGTCTTTTTGCTTCTAATACTCATGCACTAAGTTTTACAATAGATGATACTCTGCTAAATCAAAGTATGCTGTTCTCCCTATAAGTTATTCTTATGGTATAGCATCCCGCACTGAGAAATTTTCCGTGCTAGTTAAGCATTTTGAGAGTTGGACTTCTTTTTTCATTACTCTTTGTTCAATTCACGTTAAAAGGGTAAAAAACGCGAAAAGCAGTCATTTCGATGTCAATCTGGGAAACAACTACAAAGGATACTTCAAGCGAACGAAAATATTTATTTGGTTAATCATTATAAGAATTGGTGCTCGCTAACAACATATCGCAGTGATATCAAGATGATTCGTGAACGCAATCCGGCGTGCGTTAAATATCTGCCGAAATAACGACTATTCAAAATTACAATACGGAATTGAACATTAGTAGTCGTGAACCCAAAATATTGGGTCGGCTGTTCAACGACGGTTATAAAATCAAATCAAATCCGTGCTATGAGAGCCCCGGTGACTCAGGAAATAGAGCTTTCGCCTCCCAATGAAGTGATTCAGGTTCGAATCCCAGCAATGGTTGGTCGATATGAATTTTGCTTCTGGATTACACCAACCACAGTTATACATGGTGTTATACGCAGTTATATATGATATTTTTAGCATCAGTGGTAGAAGGATCTTGGGTTAGAGCACCCTTGTCGTCAGATTAGTCATGGGAGGTTTTCGTGATTTTCTTTACCACATAACGCAAATGCTGATGAGTTCCGTCAAAAAGACCTCCACTCTGGATAGTTTGTCCCAATTCTTGATCCAGGAGTTCTCTGGTCTTTCGGGTTGGGTTCAAAATTACAAAGCTATGTAGTTGTACATTGATAGTTGTAAACTCTCAATTGGTCCGACTGTTTAACCACGGATATCCGTGCTATGAGATTCAGAGCCTGCATTCACGATTAATATCCTTTCAACGCCATACCACGTTCCTTAGAGTATTTTTATTTTCTTGATGTCTATTATAGCATCACTAAATCTGTCGATCAAATTCAGAAACACTTAGTATGCCTTTACTTCCAAACATTGACCACGTACCATATTTACTATATGGAAAAAAACTATACATATCAATGAAGAGTGTAGAAATTTAGTTTCATTGTGTTTTATTATCTCTTAACAAATGTAAATATTACATATTTTGTCAGATTTTTATAAACTCGTGCAAGAATAAAAAGTTTAGGGGAATTAATTATGTATATAATTAAAAATATTGATATGTATGTGGTCTTAGATGCAAACGCTTATTACTATTACTATTATTGCAATTTTTTATAGTAATTCAATTTTGAAATATAAATGAATTTATTTTAAGGTATTTTTGTAATAGTTTTATAGGCTGAAATCGAATAGCATTTTCAATTTTTTTGGTCGCGCATTAAATATGTTTTAGAAGCATATCTTGAACTTATCTCTGAATTCTAGCAAGTTACCTGATTGCCACACATTCTGAAGTAAGAGCATTTGGAATATGCTGGGTCTAAAAATATTTCTGGAGTTGGCATGTTATTTTCTTCAGCAATTTTTCTCAAACCTAAGAAATGACGATCAATACCCATACCATTTATTGCCTAATAAAAGAAAATCACATTATTTGACAATAAAAAAACTACAACGATACATTTATTTATAGGTACAATTAGTCAACTAAAGCAACAACAGCAATGTAACGGTACAGTTAGGAGGGGGGGGGGAGCTCTCGCTTTCTAATTAGGCTGACTGGGTTGGAATTCCTGTGAGGGCAGCTTGATTTTGTTGTTTTCGGCTTACGATGATCATAATTCTAAGAGAAAATATCTTTAATGCTAGATTAATTATGGGTTATATCTCCCTTATCATCTGGTGGAAATAAGATTTTTCGCGGTTTTCCTCTCATTGTAGCATCAATACCGAAGAGTTTTATTGAAAAATTTTCCCACGAGATAGAAGTTATCACAAGACTTGGTCACACGTGTCTTCGTTTTCAGGTTTGCAGTCACAATTACGAGTTTTTGAAGTTGAGCTTTGATCAACCTAAACCCTTCAAGGCGCAGCAAATGTTAATTGAAAATTTTAGACAGTCAGCATATTAGCAACTTCAATCGTAAACTATAAATTTTAAATAAAGATATATACTTGAGATCCATGCTGCAATAAAAATAGTGGTCGCAAACGAAAAAAGAACGGTGAACGTTTAAAAGTAAATGGTTTTAAATTTTTTGTAACGTTTTTTGATAAGTGTTGCCAGACTGGTAACACTGCCTCAGAAGCGAATTTTCAACGCAGCTTTTTAATGTTTTAAATTACTATTAAGTATAGTTTCCAATAGACGTTTAACGCGAAATTTCGTAATATCTGAAGACTTTCTCAACGTGTTATTCGACAAAAAAAACTTTTTAAAACAGATGAAGTGGAAAATTTTGTTTTGATGTGAGTGGAAAAATTTCGTTTTTTTTCTTCAACTTTACCATCACGTGACTTCGGAATTTTTGATTATCTCAAAAATTTACCTTGAAAATAATCTCTTTAAACAAACAATGAAGTCAATGACTTCGTGCAAAATTCTTTCAAGGTGTCAGCCAAAGAAGTTTTAGAAGCATGTCATTATATGCTTTATCTAATGATTTGACTAACATTTGAACAATATTTTAAGCGTCGCTAATGTATGAACTTTGAAACATTTCCCAATTTCTCCTTATAAATTCGACGAACATGTCATAGAAGATTTTATACGTAAATATATAATAAAAATACAAATTTTTATCATAAAAGAAGGATTTGTAAAAACTATTTGTATTCTCCTCGATTTGATTATAGGAATATTTGCAAAAAATGTTCATGTTTTTTGGCATTAAGTAATTCACTAATTAATTTTTGTCCCTCTCCATGATTTATTATAAAATTTTTGTTCTTGTTGTTTTTATTATGGTTATCTATAATCATTGTCCCTCCATTTCAGAAATACTGTAGTAAATTTTTTTTTCATTGAATTGTCCTGCTAAATATAACTTCTGGGCAGTTATATTTAGTTAAATTCCTACAGCTGATTATATTCATACAGTTTATTGTCAAAAATTGAAAGTATTTTAATGACATTGAAATCTTTGAAAAGGCCTACTTCCATAACTAGCAAAGAATAGAAACATCTTCTTTTATATATGAGCGCTTCAATTTGGGAAGTTTCCATACGTTTCCCTCAGAGTACCAGATCGAAATTCTAGGTGAAAACTTATGCTAGACACTATAGAAGATCTTAAAATGTATTAGTAATAAAATGTTATTTTTCTCCGAATAAAGTTATAAATTACTTGATGTGTGTGTTCTTGATGGACTTGAATCGCAGATTTTAAGGCAGCTGCTTTAGCAACAAAGGACGAGGACTTATTCATCATCTCTTTGCAAAAGTTCACACTGTCTACAGATGTTGATCGTATCCAATCAGGGCGACCATTGAAAAATTTGCTCGTAGATGCGGTCTCATATGCAGCAGCTATTTCATGATGGACTCTATTAAAAGATGTAGAACATATTTTCAGTACCATGCCAAAACCATGAATTTTTGAAAAGTTACTTTTAAGATATATATCTTTAAAGTTTTATTATTTTATCTGTGTACTGTATATGAAGTTTTAGCATATGTTATTCTGTCTTCCTAAATGTGACATTCACATTTGTAGTTTTGGCACAGAGTAGGAGATCAAAAGATTAGAGAGATGTTGCTTTCTGTTTAAGCCTACCTTCGAACTAAAAACATGAATATGGAATGCGAATTTTAAGAAATATATTGATGAAATTTAGAAATGAATCGTTTGATCTTGAAACAATTAGTTCATTCGATAAATAAATAATTTGATTGGTTTTTATTTAACATTATGTTTGTATAATTGCAATAGTTCCAGAAAAAATTAGATATATTTTCGCTATTTTAAAATTATAAATTATATTTATTTTAACTCTAGAATTTGGTTGAAAGAAGTAAAATAATCAATAAAAGTTTAATAATATTTTTCTTAACATTATTAATAATAAAAAACTGTATTTTTTATTACTGAATTCATCAAACTCTATAATCTACCAAATTTCTCTGCTAACATAACGGCAGTTTTACGTAGTGCAAAGCATTTTGAATCGTATGCAACAATTTTAAAGAGATAGTTTACGTCCATTGTATGCGTTTGTTTTGAGTTTGTGGTCAAAGTTAAAATGATTTTCCACTACGTTCGCGTTTTTAACTAGCAGATTTTTGCAAAATCTCTTATTTTCACTTACTTAAGTTTTATATTTTTTCACGGGCGCTTACGCATTTCACTTGAACTGACGCATGCGCACTAGAAGAGTGCAAGCGTAATTACTTGAAATCTTAGGTTCGGGAGCGTACGGAAGCTGCACCAATCCACCGCTGACAATTTTTTCTTTTTCTTACGAGCCACATTTTTGTTTACTTTTATGGTGGTATAGGTCAGACCATTCAACGCTTTTAAATGGTTAATGGGATACCTGCAAGTAATGTAGTGCGGGTACCTCGATTTTGATTGGTTGTTGAAACGTGACATTTGTTTACGTTAGCAACTGTTCCTTCCATTCTATTTCGAATAAGCCAAGTCCGTCAAGTATCAATTCTCTTAAGTGATATATTCTATATTCTTACACAAAGATTCTTTTACAATGATTTCAATTCTTTTACTATATATTTCGTAATTAACACAAAGACAGACACGAAGCTATGTAGAACATAAACTAATTATTCAGCGAAGTTGCAAGGCACACAAAACAAGAATACGCCATGGCTACAATACAATAAAAATACAAACAAATAATAAATCTAAGTTAAGTAAAAGACGTAGAGGAGGAAGAATTATATTTCAGCAAATTTGATGAGCGATACTGCGCTGTATTTAACTAACTTCACGTTAAATAACATTCTAACTTACGCCGAGATACTTAAATCAATGTCAACAAGCCATTTTGCTTAAAAACGATCAGCTGGCACTGACGCCATAGGTCACATGAGTGGGTATCCGTCATTTTCTTCATGAAGTGCAAATACCCAATTGACACTTTCCCGGCTTATTTGCTGACACTTATCAATCATCAAGTATTGCTATGCAACCTTACATGGTTATATGGTCCGCTTTGCAAGTCACCGCATTGCATAATTGTGCTTCTACCAAAGGGAAGATTTTGCAAATGGATAATTTTTAAAAATTTTGGATTGTAACTAAACATTTTTGGCGAGGGGGGATGTAACATAAAAAGCTTCAATTAATCTTTTTATGTTAGTTTCTTTTATGAAACTTCATCCTAATTATTATTCTAATCGAAATACTTTCTCACACTTTTAAAAGCCACATTCTGTTCTTAAATCTATTTTTGGCTCAAGTATGCATTTAATTAAAAGCAGGACATATTTCCCTTTGCTCTGTGTGGGAAACATTCGATCTATTTCATAAACCAATAGCAACTACTAAGATTTCCCTCTTTCCCTAAATTAAGACATTTTACGGATTTTACTTTGCAAGATTTTCCCTAACATATAACCAAGGAGCGCAACTTTTC